TATCTATCTATCTATCTATCTATCTATCTATCTATCTATCTATCTATCTATCTATCTATCTATCTATCTATTCTATCAACCATCTATCATCTATCTCTAATTCAGTATTTCACCCCAGACCACAGCAGGAAAAGTTGAAATATGTATCTTTACTGCTTTGCTGTAGTAACTTTGCTTAGTTCTCCTTTAGGGAATGAACATCTAATTATATCCAACTTCATCTTATTTATATTGTTTGGGAGAGAAAACAGCTTGCTAACATACAGCTGGTAGCACTTATAAGATAAATGGTTTTCAGCTTAGATCGTGACCTTTCTGTTGTCTGATTTCTGTCCAGATTCTGATTAAAAAATAAGAGGCAAGATGTAGTTGCCAAGTTTCTCTTTTTTTGGGAAACACTCCAATACCTTTAATAGAAGCTTGGCTTACAAGTATTTAGCAGGCAAAATTTTTGATACCATTTCGTCTATTGCTGGGTTGTTGTTTTTTCATTTTGTGTAGTTGTTAACCAATTTCTGGCAAGCACCTGCACTATTAACTATCCTAGATGGAGGTCTTGGTCTTGGTGATGTCCAACAAGATGGCTCTACTGGACTTGAATCCATGCCCCTGTTCTTTCTATGTGATAATGGCATTAATCAACCATATCAATTTGGTTCATTATCCAATCAACAATGGTGGGTTTTTTTTTGCTGTGTATGTAGGTGCAGAGTACAGACTCATAAGACAACAGAGAAATATTGGGTGGTTTATCCTTTAGAGAAGCTTGTCTCTGGTGTATTTGACTATAATTCTCATCCTCCCCAGGCAGTATTATGGACTTTTTTTTTTTTAACCAAAACTTCCATCAGAACACTGAGCTGAGGAAAACCAACATCAAGAATGCACACACAACTATTGTATTCTCAAGGGACACTTGTTTCTCTTGACAATGTCCTTGAGGTTGGAAGTTAATTTTGCTATACTCTATGGCTGTGCAGCATTTCAGATTCTGGCAGATTCTGCTCTGGGATACCTGGTTTGTGTTTGTGTGTGTATGTTTGCCTAGTGACTGTCTGCAAGACCTTAAATCAAAACACATATTTTTCCTAGACTTGTGCTTCAGCCGGGGAAGGAAGATGTGTGATTCCAGAAAAAGATGCAACTACTTTGAAGATAGGCTATCGGAGCAGCTTGGCAGATTCTAAACCACTTTTTGCCTTTCAAATCCAAAGTATCGCAAAAGCACTAGGACCAAAGGTGGTGCCATGTAGCACGTAGTTGGGGATCATGTGATGTCTATGTGATAACATTCAGAGTTGTTAGGGCCTAGAAACTCTGGGTTGGGCTCTGAGGTTGGGCCTTTTTTGTGTGAAGGAGTTTTGAGGCAAGTCACAAGAAAACACTGTCTTTGACAGCTGCCTTAGGAAGAAAATTTTCTTGAAAGAAGACTAAGAATTTGATTTAGCTGAATAATAAAATAAGTAAATAATGCATTTTTATGGAGTCATAAAAATTTAAAAGGATTTCCAGGACTATCATATCAAAAAAGGCTACAGATAAATAAATAAATAAATAAATAAGTAAGTAAATGGAGAAAGCTCTTGGGCATAGGAGGTTGTAGAACCATGGTGCAGGCTAATTCTGCTGGCTGCCAGCAGTTCGAGTCTCATCGGGTCGAGATTGACTCAGTCTTCCATCCTTCTGAGGTTGGTAAAATGAGGAGATTAACTCTGTAAATTGCTTGGAGAGGGCTGTAGTGCACTATGCAGCGGCATATAAGTCTAAGTGCTATTGCTATTTTTATGTAGCTTTGGGTTTTTTTTTCTTGCAAATGCAAAATTCCTCCCTCTAGTTTGGTTTAGTGATTAAATTATCTGGCTAGAAACGGGCAGACTGAATTCTAGTCCCATTTTAGGACAAAACCACCTGGGCTTCAGCCAATTACTCTCTCTCAGCCTTAGGAAGAAGGCAATGGCTAACCACTTCTGAAAATCCTTGACAAGAAAACTGAAGCAATTTGTCAAGCATTCTCCAAGAATGAAATAACAATTCAATGGGAAGAAAAAAAAATGCTATCCTCCTTGTGATGTTCTTCCAGATGTTACAAAAGCATATGGGGAATGATATTGGCATTGGGGAGTTTATTTATTTACTTGTGTCTTAATTGATGGTTTGACTTTGATTAAAAAACTACTTTGGTAAGTCACCAGAAGTTGGCAGCATATCCATTTTAACAACAACAAAATCCTCCTGTTTTACCAGCTGTTTGATTCGTATTCATTTGTCCTATGTATTTAGTCTCTTCCACTGTCCATGACTTTGGAGCCAAGCAAAAAAAATACAATCCTCTTAGTATAAATCATAGCTTCCTAGTCATTGTAAGTACCATTTGGAATTGTGCAGGTTTCTTTGCTTCATTATATTTGTTTACAAGAAATAAAAGGGAAATGCTTCAACTGTTTTTTTTTATAAAAACCCTCAAGTAACTAAAGTGAAGTAAAATCTGAATCTATTTAGATGAAATTGATTTGAAATTCAAAGAAAGCTCTATTTTTCCTACTTTCTCCTCATTTCTATCAATAAAACAAACTATAGCATCTGCTTATCTGAAATTTGGTGTATTTAATCCCCTCATATAGTAGACTTGAAAATGACCAAAAAATACAGTTTGATGATTTGAATATACTATACTATACTCTATATAGCATATATGGAGACTCAGTGTGCTGAACTAAGCTTTAGACTTTGCTGCCATTCAGATGAGTGGCCTTTAAATCAATTCAAATTGAAGTGGCTTATGTTTTAAATTGATGAATGTTGTTTATTTATGTCTGATATAAATTGGATTTGAGAAACATTCTATTCAAATACAAATAGAATGAAACATGGAAAAGGCATCTTTTGATGCTCACCTAATAGTTAAATAGCACCAGTGGTATAAGTGAACTTAATTGGAATGTATCCCATTGATTTTCCTTTAAGTAAAGGAAGTTAAGCAAGAATGAGGCTGAAAGCTTGCTGGTTCCCTTTTCCATTCAGGTTGCTTTGCAGATAATTTTGCTTCACTCCTATCAGCTTGTGAGAGTAAGTCTTCTTTGAATAATAGTACTTTTTATTTATAATTACAGTGATAAAAAGTAATGGCAACTAAAAGTATTAACAAATGAAAAGAACAGGTAAGAAAGTGCAGAAAAGAATATAAAGAAAAATAGAAAAGAAGGAAAAATAGAAATATAATAAAGAAAACTAAAAGAAATATACAAAGAAATGAGTTTCCCTTTGATCAAGCAACAGTAACTTCAGTAACTTATTACCATTGAGCATGCAATCAAATATCTTTTCTTCTCATATCTCATGTCTTATCTATAAACTACTTCTTTAAACCTCATTTTGATTCTGGTTAGCAAAAGTCCATTGAAAATTACCAGAAATAACAATATATACATTTTAACTTTGATCAAATAAGCAAACTTTATGTTAGTTCCCTTTGCTTTTAACAATCTTGATCTTTAATTCCTATACATAATGTCCTAGATTTTTTTCTTATTTTCTTCTTGCCTCTTTCAGCAAATTCTTCAAAACTTTGGCAAGTCTTTTAAATCCAAAATTATTCAACTCACTCTCCTAGTTTGTTATTTGTATATCCCTTTTAATTATTAGACACCAACCAGTTTCATTTTCATATCCAAAATAACATCTTTTTCTATATCATTTTATCACTTACATTTACCTCCACATTCAAATCGGCCTCAGTCTCAATCCTGTCTGGTAAATCTTGTTCCTCTTCTATAATGTCTTTTAAATCCAGTTTGTTTATAATAATAGAAGAGAATTGTAAGATTAATTTTTGAATGCATTGTCTCCAAATAGCCTTCAGTTCTTTCAAAGCTACAGTATTTTGCTTTATTCTATTTTAGTCTGTCAAATTTAACTCTTCTTTAATTATATTTGTTTTTTTCTGCTTCCCTTTAGTGTTCAACCTTCAAAGTTCACTCTTATTATGTTTT